AGAGAAACCTAAGTAAAACTGATCACGAAAAAGTATTATATTCACTTTCAGAGTCAGACTTTAACGTCATTTAACATCCTTAATGTTCCTCTCAAATCGAAAACCTGTAGTGAATGTACACAATTTTCCCTATTGCAATAATATCATTGAAAACAGTGAAAGACTATGCAGTTTGTATCTTTCTACATATGATAGAGGCCGGTTTGCCCAATATACTGAGACCATTCTAAATCCATTATACATCAATGCAACAACAGTGAACGTATTGCAACTAAGAATACTGATGGTTGTATTCATCTGAATGTAACGGTGATAATATGTGTGAAACTCCTTCAAATTTGTTTCACTGTATGACTATTCTCTGGTTCTTTCTATCTATTTATCTCGTTTCTCGTACTGATGTGCATATTTTGTTTCGCTTCCAGTTTATTAGCAGTTATTAGCATAAGTTTTACAAATTCTGAAGGGTGCTAAATCAAAAGATATCGTTGAAATTTTTAACTAACGTCCCACTTTTATCTTAACATTATGAACTTCTATGTCTTTCATATTGATCAATCATCTTTTTTATTGATTATGTTAGATTTCAATGACTGATTTATCATTGGAGAGAGAGATGTGGTCTTTTAATTGTTAGAGAGTTATATTGGTTTTCACAGTCATTAGCTCGACTTTCAGCTATTCGGTTGTTGGTCGACAAGTAAAGTGATCAATGATGTCAGTCAGACGGCATAGACAACAAAGACGAATCATCCTGAAACAAAGCTAAGCAAGGTCTCAAAACCATCTACAGAAGAAAACTCGAAGAATTATGTGATCATCCTGTCAAAATATCTAACTAAAATAGATGAACACTTCCTCCACAAAGGATTGGACTACAACACAAGTGACGCCTCATAACTCGAATTCTTCGCCAAACCAGGATAATCAACCAAAACGGACAGAATAAATGAAAAAACTTGTAGTGGAATTCTTCAACGTAGAGAACGCAATTGGTAAAATCCAATATCCAATATCCAATATCTTTTTCACGAGCTAGTGTAAACCAATTTGATTTCTTCGCGCTCGATTCTTGTTCTTTCGGTACCGTTCCAGGTGTTCGGTAATGTCCAATGGATGGAGGTCTAGCCACTCGACTGTCTAATTCTAGTCAGTTGGCAGTTGGTTGTGAGTTTGTATGTCTCGGGATTTGAATGAAACGTTTGTTTCAGGGCAGTAGGGTTTCTGGATACTAGCAGCCGTCACATTACCAAACCGGAGATCAGTTAGTTGCAATGTGGAGAGTAATAAGGGTAATAAGGGTAAATCAAAATGATAATATGAGTAAAATTTCGGAACTGATGAATTTAGTTTATTAATTGGTAGTGAAGATTGTGAGAGAGGGCCGAAGCGTAAGCAAGGGAGAGGAATAGGCGAGTTAAATTAATTAAGTGATCTGAGGAGATGGCAATGGTAACAACTAGCAGGTCTCAAGATATGCATCAGGCACAGCTTGTCCAAGAGGGAGATGATAGTCCGCATGTGAGTACGTGATTATCAAGTCTCTTCTTTAAGCAGTCCACTGAGGGGGCTGTAACTACCTCGGCTGTGAGAGCATTCCAAGTTGCGACGACTCGCAATGAGAAAAAGTGTGCACGAACCTGAGTGTTTGCTCTTTGATGTGCAATCTTTTGAGGATTGCTATCACCTGACATTGCAGACGAGGAAGTGAGCTTGCAAGGCATGAAAGTCATCCAAAGCGATATGATACACCAGATAGTAGACGGAGTGGCAATGTATGTTAACATCCATTTCGAAGCCGAAAGACTACACGGCACAAAACTAATCGATGTGACAGTATAATGCTAGTGTTGCTTCAACACGAATGGCTTGAAATGCTTGACTGAAGGGATTTACCGAACCTAGCCCTCAGGTACTAAGCCCTAAAACATAAACAAACTCAGGAAATACTGCAAATGCCACTCCTTGAATTTCATGGAATACTCTTCGCATGAGATTACAACACTCCCTATCTAAATATGAGCGAACAGGTCACACACCCCACTGGTCGGTTCCAGAGACGACTTGGTGTAGCCAATAACAAAGAAAGGATGTTCGTGTCCATAAACTAACAAAAGCAATGACCATGAGGCAGTCCAGCTTGACGTGGTGGTAAACGAAATACTCAGAAGGGATTAAAGAGAGCTCCACCTTCACCAAACCAGGGCAAATTACACGCGCACGAGGGAAAAAATTCTACGTGCTCAATGACCACGGCAACGTCGGACGCATAAACTAAATGATCACCGGAAAACACACACAGACATCATCCAGAATCTTATCCTGAACAACGTAACACAAGCAGATCAGACAAAGTTAAAAGAAAGTCGTGGGTCAAGCGAAGCATTGAACATCTTCTGGAATGGGAAAATACCGGTTCAAATAATCCTTCTTGACGTTGCAATGTACTTCGACACAATATCACACGCTCTACTAATGGCGAAGGTTGCGGAAATGGGCTTCACTGGACCACACCAGGATAATCAACCAAAACGGACAGAATAAATGAAAAACTTGTAGTGGAATTCTTCAACGTAGAGAACGCAATTGGTAAAATGAAAACATTTATTATTTTATGCAGTTGTAACAAAGACTGTTTTATTGTACTCCTTTTGTTTGACTGTATTAAAAACGCCTACTTACGCGCAACTTTCTGTTTGTGTTGCTTCTGTTCTTTGTTTCATGCTGCTCCTTAGTTAGTCCACCTTCTTGGTTTAATTTTGGCGTTCATGAAAGTATCTCATGGTTGATCCTTATGCAGCGTTTTCTGCTATTATTGCTAGATATTCCACATAGATACGTTTTTCAACTCTGACACTCCTCATCACTATTTAGTTTTCTTCCGTGTATTTGGCATGTGCCTTGGCTTTCTCTTCACTTGTTCGGGTGTTATTGAATGTTGTCTTCTTGTTCCTCCTTTCTGGAATCTTATCCCGAGTGTCGGCTGAGATCTATTCCTTGTGATGCTGATTCTTGTGGCTCAGAACATCACAACAGGTTTAAGCTATTACTTTCTTGGTCTCTTCCAAGCTGTTATCCATAGTGCTTTCCACTGAATTGAGTAGATTGAGAAAGACTTGAAAATTATTGCGGAGGCTATCTAGAATTAGTTGCGTTTGTCAAGATCCCAAAGAAATGCCGTTTTGAGCTTTCGTGGTGCTGAGTTTTTCTTGAACTGGAGCGACCCCACAGGAGAACTAAGGGGTAAAATGTTAGAGTGTTACGCATGCACGTAAATACATCATTTTGATGAGCTCGAAAAATACCGGTTCAAATAATCCTTCTTGACGTTGCAATGTACTTCGACACAGTATCACACGCACTACTAATGGCGAAGGTTGCGGAAATGGGCTTCACTGACAACCTCCAATGTTTGCTCAGAAACTACCTTGAGAATAGAAATTTTCTCACCAACTTTAACACGGTACACGCGAGTTGACGAGCCTAAACATCGAGAGTTTCAAAGAGGACCATCAAATGTCTATTCCTGCTCCGGATATTGATTAATGATTTGTTCGGTAAAGTAAGCTCGGCGGCTGTCAAGAAGGTTAAAAACTAAACTAGTCTAAACGTCACATTATGAACATTCTGACCAATATTATGCAAACGACTTATGCCTCCAAACGTAGGTTCACAACGCCGTCACACCCCATCTCCTTAAAAGAGACATACATCTCCTGGATCGTGTGCAGAGATTGACAACTGTGTTGTGGTTGAAGGACAAGCATTATGAAGATAGACTTCAGCACTTGGGATTATTCTCCTTGAGCTACAGGCGATTCAGTGGTGATCTGATTATGGCGTACAACATGTTAAGCGCACCAAACCATCCAAACATGAACATTTTAACAAGGCATCACCATTATGTCCCTCGAGGAAGGCCTCGACATAATGCATGTCGGAGAGCGAACACTCAGGTTTGTGCACACTTTTTCTCATTAGGAGTCATTGCAACTTGGAATGTTCTCTCAGACGAGGTGACCACAGCCAACCAGTCGACAGCTTCAACCTCACATTTTACCTCTGTTTCTTTTCGCTCGCTTACACTTCAGTCCTATCGCACATTCTTCACATTACTCCTGTCACACTCCTCTGCAGTCAGCATTACGACTTCGCCCTCAGATCTTGGGTAGTCTCTTTTAGTCTCACGTTCTCCAATCGACCTGCCTGGTATGGTAGAACCTTCAGGATTATATGTTCCAGCCAATATAGCTCGGTTGGGTCATCACGATAGTCAAGCCCGACCACCACATCAAGTTAGCAATTTCGGATGGGAACTTCCTAATATCTTCGCAGTATTTTATGTGCATTTATGTGCAAATATCTGTTTGCATTGCTGCCATTCTTTGAAAAAACTACAACCACTGTAGTCAAGTAAGTCAGCTCTTTGAATTTCAGAATAACATAAACATGTAACTAAATCTAACTATTGCGGTTACACGTAAGAAAAGATGTGATTACCAGTGAGGTATTGAATTTGTATTTTTCGAAATGTTACAGTCAACTTATACGACAAAACTACCACTTTTTATCCGAAAAATATATCTTCAGATTAACGTCCGAAAGACCATTTTTCTCTTGTGATTCATAGTCGAACTATGAGTTGACTGTGGTCCGCCTCAACACACTTAAACTCTACTTTCTGCTTCAAATGTTGCGATCATATTTACTTTTACATTTATTTTCTCTCCATCCTCCCCTTATTTCTCTTAAATGGATTTCATGCTTCCGGAGTTGCTGAATAAATTAGTAAAATGTTTTAAGATTAACGTTTCGTATTCATTTCATCACTTATACATGGTGCTTACGAATTGACATCAAGTAAAACAAGTGGTTCCTCTTTAATTGTATGTACAACATATACTTTGCCACTCATCTTTATTCCTTTCCACAAACAAACTCGTCTATGATCTTCATGTATTTCCTGTCTTCTCTTATATTCCTTATTGGATTTTGGACGTTGAGCGGTCTTTCAAATGACTGTGCAATATAATCAACTTGTTCTCACTGGAGGTCCGGGTGTATTTTTCAGACTGCTATTAAAGTATAATTCATGGTGTCTATACATTTTCTAGATGGAGAGGATGTATTTTCAAATTGATCTACATCGATGTTATTGTTTTCATGGCTCTATATGCATTTATCAGTTGTGTTTATCGTTTCGTTCTGTCAGTAGAGTTACAGAGGTTTGATTTCCCTTTTCAGAATCTAAATACTTTCAGAACTTTTGAAGACGTCATCATGTTTACTCGGAGCTTCCAAGGTCTGATCCCGGTTTCTTTCATACTTGGGTTCTATATCGATAATGTGTTCACTAGGTTTTGGAGATTATTCATGACCATTCCATGGGTGCTTAAATTTGCCATTTCAATTGCTGGGCATCTCTCTGGAAACTCTGAACGTTCTCGTTTAATGCGACGCACATGCTTTCGGTACATGATGTCAAGTCTAATAATGACTTCTACACGTCTCAACCTAATTGCTAAGAAGCGCTTTCCTACACCAGAATTCTTCGTTGCCGCCGGTACAGTTATTATGTTTTGCGTTAGAATTTGGCCACTCAAACAGTAGCATTGAAGTATTGATACACTTGATCATCATTGTGGATTATTAGTTGGTAGATATTTGTGCGTGATTCTACGTTGCGTTTGACAGACGAACTGGTCGAAAATTGAGTTACTAGGCGAAGAAAACCTTATGAAGCAAACAATCTATTTTATTTCAAGGCTTAGTATAAACTTCGAACGGCTTAAAATCTCAATGAACATTATATACATATAATATATATAATTAGGCTATTTTTATTTTTTGCCATATTACATTGGTGTATTACTCTATATACATATAGACAGAATAATTGCAGGATTTCATACGTAAGTACATCAGTTCAGGTTTCCATACCACGTCAGCACAAAGACGTAACTGTCAGTTCGAGTCCAAGAGTGATAGCGATAGTAGAAGTATTAGCAGTAATGAAGAAGATTAGGGAGCGAAGGTATGATTCGATAAGTATAATTCAGTCAGATAAATATAGGAGCAGAAAGATGGAGATGAAGACGAATTCAGAAGGTTAGAACTAAAGAGAACACAAAGAGTGGATGCACGTGCGCCATTGCAAACGATTTCGATCCATGTCGTTCAAGGTCTCTAACCATCGGTAAATTTCGTCTCGCGGACCCCAACCAGGTGATAGCCTACATGTACCAACATGACTCAGTCCACTTGTCAGTGAGTTCATGGATTTGTGCCATGTTTTGTTCTGGCCGCCGCTAGCTTTCTCCCAACCTACTCCTACACCACAAAACATAGCTCGTCGAGGCAGTCGGTGGTTAGGCATATGTAACACATGTGCCGACCACCTCAACTGATGAAGTTCCAGTACTTCACCTATTGATCTGCCATCTTTACTTGGAACTCGTTTTGTAACGACAGCATTGCTTATACGGTTGTCCCATGATACACGAGCAATGCTTCGGAGACACCGATGATCGAAGACCAGTAACCTACGAAATTCTTCTACTCCTAACGGCCGTATAGTAGGACGGAGGTTTCAGACCTGGATGTGGCTGTTTAGGCTACATCTTCACACTACGATTGGTATTGGAACACAGACACGTTCAGGCATCCTGCAATAGTTTGTTTGGTGTTTATGAGAAGCCTAGCAACAACATAAACCATCACATCATCATAATCTTGTTTTTTTGTTTCGTTTGCATTCATCAAGAATTTAGGTAAGAAATTCCTTAAGGCGGTCTGTGTTGTTAGCGAAAACCATATTAAGGTTGATGTCACCGTTGAAATATTGAGGATTGTATTACTGTGCATGGTAGTCAACGTTTCTGTCCGATTCATGATATTGTGGAAATTGGATGTTTAGATTCTCCTAATCGTTGTTGCGCTTCTAATCTGTACAGTAGTCTATAGTTCTGTGATATCCATCAAGTCCTAACATACTTTTGTTGTCAGCAAGCAACAGTGAGATATACCGTCTTAAAATGTTTCTGTTCTACAAGCCATGTCTCAACTGTTCGTGGAGTTAAATAATTTATTTCCATCTGTTAATGAAACATCTAATCTACATTTTGCAGATGTATTTAACAGTTTGTTATACGCGCCAGATGGTTCGTATTGTCTTTCAGTGATATTTTGTAGGTTTGTTACTTAAGATATGTAGTTAGTAGAGAAGCATTATCAAATGCTATTTTCAGTATGTCAAATATTTATATATAATGATGATATTTTCGCATAATATTTTGCCATTAATATAGTCTGTGAGGTATTTTTCGGTCGAATTCGCTTCCTTTAATTAGGAATACTTACAGAAGAAGAGTTGGATATAATTACGAGCGTCAGTCCTATTCATGTTCAACCGTTTGTTCCTATAGTATGGACCACTTCCCTTATCACTCTTGCTGGAAAAGAAGGTTTTATTACGAATCATCATGCCTTGGTTTCCATCATTGATGTAAGTTTTTCTCAATTAAAGCTAGTTTCATGTATTAAACGTTCATACCTAAGGCGTCCAACCTTCAAAACTGCTTTTATGGTCATTTATTGAGAGTATTCATTTATATAGAAGAAAAACCTCTAAATGTCTAGTCAAAGTAAAAAAACGTTAATCACTAGTCTTTATGCTTCTCCATTACTTTCGCGATCCAAGTACTGTGATGTTTTGTATAATGCTTTTAAGTTTTCGAAATCTTATATAGACCATACACATGACCTAATTATGAGAAGGCAACATTAGCGCAGATGCTGAGCATGATAAGGGAAAATCTTACCACTATCACATCACAGTAGTCAGCGTTACGACCTCGCCCCCGGACTTTAAGTTACTGTTTTTAGTCCTACCGCTCTCTGATGTGGCAGGACCTGAAGTATTCTAGCCAATACATCTGGGTTAGCATCGCGATATGCATAACTGAACTTAGTGTAACTTATTCACGAGATAGATATACGCGATAGATTTTGAGTCTTACCATGTAAGGGCTAGTGATAATACTCGGTATCCTGAAATAATGTCGCTCAACTTTTTCGTCTAACCATAATAATCTAGACAGAATCTCAATTTATGTGGGAGTTTATCATGAAAACAATAAATGTTTGCAATCAAATTTATTTCACCTTGAAGTTGAATTTTCTATTTTTTAATTTTCAGGAAATAAATAACTTTCGTCAGGGTCTGTTGGATATGTTTATGATCGATTTTGTTTGCATCCCATTAGTTTACACACAGGTTAGTTCTTTGGTAGACCTTTCCATACAGCATCAGCATTTCCACATACTCAGATAAACAGTACCTTTTTATGTTTACTTACATTTATTTCACTAATACTGTGCCATTTATTCTCCACTTTAGTTATATAAATAGCCATTCTATAAAAAGTATGGTAGTGTTTTCACTTCACTTTCTAATTTCCAAGAATCATATATGTTCCATCTATGGCGGCATGGTTGTAGTTTACTCACCGAATATCTTAAGTGTCACACTTTCCCGACTAGCTTTGTTCATAATCATGTATTTCACCTAAAATCTTGTAAACCTTGTGTTTTCATTCATGTATTACTTAGCACAAAAACACAAAACACCGGATTGGTAAAATGTATTTGATGGGTAGTGACTATTGTAAAGGAATTGCTTATTGATAAATAGAAATTTTTAGGTATACTTATAAAATAACAAATAAACACTGTTTCCAACTAATACTAATCAAATTTTTATTGCTAGGTCGGTTTCCATGTGATGATAGATTTAACTGTCTTTGGACTAAAGGCTCTGTTACCACTTTTACTCATGCATCAGATCATAATTGTTAGCTCAATACATTGGTTTTAGGTAGTGATGTGAATTCTTGGTAGAATTGAATAATTGTTACTGTTGAGAAGTTTGACCTTTATATGTGTTTATTCTATAATTTATAAAAAAGTCTTAGTTATGTCGACATTAGGCAACAACTGGTTACTTGGTCGAAGACGCATCCAATATATTTTAATTGAATCCAGAAAAGCTAGTAGCTTTTCCAATAACACCTGTCTTTCTATTAACATAATTCGCTAATCAACTCGATAACTATATTTGAATTAAGAGAGGAAAGAATTATATCTTTATCGATTTGAAGATAACTATGTACTTCCCGTCTCTACTAAAGTGAAAAATGTTGCTTCATGACTGGTGTGCGTAAACCTAAAAATTAGTGATCGTCAGTCTCTTCGTTTTTACTGATAGTTTCATCATCAGCGAGACCACGGGAAGCAGCCTCAGGGCTTCCGGAAACACGATGCGTAAACAGTTTTGTTTCTCTATCTGAACAACTTAAAGTCAAACTGATGTTTTTACTCGGATGTTGTATGCGCGCTTCGGAGACACAACATACATCGATTGCACGGGATTCCAAAGTTGTAAATAATCAAGCCTGATGCCCTATTTGTCACAAGGTTCGAACATTAAAAGTTTCAATATGTAGTTCAGAGCGGGATTTCAGGGGACTAGGAATAACGGTTCGTGAGCTCGAAACGTTTCCCTCAGCGACGCGAGGTACAAGTGATCGGTAAAAGGGTTGGTCGTAGAAATGACCGATTTGGAATCGTGTGCTTTTATGAATATAAGGGCAGATGTTACTTCCCGGCTTCCCACACCACTGTTCACGATCATTGCGTAGGCTTTTTATCAGTATGCGCCTAAGCTGACTCCGCTCCTCATCGTACTCAGGGCCAGAAGAGATGAGATTTCGAGCACCTGTCAATTCGCTACGTGCTACTGAGATCCATTGTTTCTCCATAACCTTATGGTTTCTCTTACAAGCAGACATCATTGCTGTTTACACAGCCTTTTTGATATCATTCCAAGCTGCCTCAGGGTGGGCATCACTTACTACATGGCTACCTGACTGTTTTTCTAGTTGTTCCTGAAATATATTCTTAGCTAAGCTATCATTAAGTGGAACCCTAAGAGGTTTTTTCGCGATGTCTTTCCTACGTTCAGTAAAACTCAAAAAATACGCGCACGCACCGGAGCATAGTCTGAATCCGCTCCAGATCGAGCGGCAGTCTTTAATTGGTATCTATGTGGTCTAGATGGGTCCAGCGTTGGGACGTCTTTGGGGGGCCAAGTCAAGGGTCAGTGTTTGCTAGAAACAGGCATTTACCTGAGCATAGCTGCAGCAGACGGTCACCATTATCTGTTCGATCAGCCACAACACCGTAAAATACACCCGGGTGTCTTTCCTCTTCACTTAGTCTAGTTACTTGAGCACTAAAGTCAGCCTGCACTGTTACTGCATCAGAACGCCAAACGTTTCGGAGGAAGTCTGAAAACTTTCTGTAAAACTCATGTTTACCTCGTCCAAGATGCAGTCAGTGGGAGAGTAAGCAGAGACGACGAAGAGGCAACGTCGTGACTGTTAGGATATTGATAAAAATATCCCAAAAATTATTCTGTTACGTCTAGTTCTATCAATTAACGTTAAATCGTACGTTTTCACATGCTTTCAGACTCACATATTTAACATGTCGTTTACTGTTGGTCAATATTCACGTGAATATTCACGTTCGTCCTAACTCCATAAATATGCATTGACTGTAAAGTTCAAGGCTGAATTCTGACCCGGTAAACAATTTTCATCTGACGGTTTTGTGTTCTGATATACTGGGGTTTCGGGAAAGAGAATTTGCGTTCGTACTTGAATATCTGAGGTTTGCCAATCGGTAGAATTTCTAGTAGACACTTCGCAAACCACAATGTTTGGTGACGGGGATATGGCAAACGAAGTTGTGACTAACTATGGATCCAGGCACCTTAGAAAAATAGTTCAAACAACAGCTGAAGCTTATGGAGATGCTTACTTAGGCGCACATCTCTTCTTGAGTCTCATCTACAGCGGCGATTCCTCAATCAGTCAATGGTATTACCAGGGGTATTTCATAGTTTCTTTATGATCCTGATGTCAACATTAAATTTCATATCTGGTTCGGGTGTTATGAAGACATTTTTAAAGTTGACCTTTCTGACAGAGATGATACTTGGAAGGTGCGCCTTCTCCTTCGAAGCTTGGTGCGTCGGAGCTAGAAAAGAACAAGATAGTTAGGATCAGTAAATATAAGGTCACAGTTTTGGTCCGCGAACATGAGTTTTACAGAAAGTTTTCAGACTTCCTCCGAAACGTTTGGCGTTCTGATGCAGTAACAGTGCAGGCTGACTTTAGTGCTCAAGTAACTAGACTAAGTGAAGAGGAAAGACACCCGGGTGTATTTTACGGTGTTGTGGCTGATCGAACAGATAATGGTGACCGTCTGCTGCAGCTATGCTCAGGTAAATGCCTGTTTCTAGCAAACACTGACCCTTGACTTGGCCCCCCAAAGACGTCCCAACGCTGGACCCATCTAGACCACATAGATACCAATTAAAGACTGCCGCTCGATCTGGAGCGGATTCAGACTATGCTCCGGTGCGTGCGCGTATTTTTTGAGTTTTACTGAACGTAGGAAAGACATCGCGAAAAAACCTCTTAGGGTTCCACTTAATGATAGCTTAGCTAAGAATATATTTCAGGAACAACTAGAAAAACAGTCAGGTAGCCATGTAGTAAGTGATGCCCACCCTGAGGCAGCTTGGAATGATATCAAAAAGGCTGTGTAAACAGCAATGATGTCTGCTTGTAAGAGAAACCATAAGGTTATGGAGAAACAATGGATCTCAGTAGCACGTAACGAATTGACAGGTGCTCGAAATCTCATCTCTTCTGGCCCTGAGTACGATGAGGAGCGGAGTCAGCTTAGGCGCATACTGATAAAAAGCCTACGCAATGATCGTGAACAGTGGTGGGTGGCGAAGGCGAGGGAGATGGAAAATGTAGCGGCGATAGGCAACAGCAGACAGTTGTTTTGACTGTGACACTCCTAGTTCGTTAAGACCAACACAGATCTACCTTCCCTCTCAGATTCCTCACGGTGTGGGCAGCCAGGAAATAACCACGGATCTCATACCTTCAACAGCACACGAGGTCAAATCTGTCACAAGTAAGTCCTTCCCACACATCCTAACTCACTCCTTGTCTTCACGACTAACTCTTCTCGAATTCCTATATCAACCCGCACCTCAGCTTTAGACGTTTCGAGTTCGCGAAACGTTATACCTGGTCTACTCAAACTCCAATCTAAACTATATGTTGAAAGATTTTAAAGTACGTTCATTTTGTCAAATAGGGCAACAGGCTTCACTAGCTAAGACATTAGAATCTCGCGCCATCGATGTATGCTGTGTCTCGGAAACGCGCATACAGGATCCGAGTCATGACCTCACCATTTCAAGATAAAAAAACTACTCGATTTACCCTTCGTGTATGTCAGTCAGTCAGATGCAACGTAGAACTTCGTACGTAAGTACATCAGTTCATGTTGCCATACCACATCAGCACAGAGATATAATTGTCAATTCAAATCCAATAGTAGTAGAGGTAGTAAGGAATTAGAAGTAATCGGAAGGTTAGGGTTAGAAGATACTATTCAAGAAGTATGATTCAGTGAGAAAAGTTTAGAGAGTCGAAACTAGAGGTGTTGAAGAATCCAGAGAATAAATGCACCGGCGCCATTGCGAACGATTTTGAGCCATGTCATTCAAGGTCTCTAACCATCGATTATTATCATCTCGGCGACCCCAACCCGGTAGTCGACAATTACCGACATGGCTCAGTCCACTAGTCAATTACTTCATGGATTTCTGCCATGTTTTGGTTTGGCCGCCCCTAACTTTCTTCCAACCTACTCCTACACTACAAAACAAAGTTCGTCGAGGCAGTCGGTGGTTGGGCATACGCAACACATGTCCCAACCACCTCAACTGATGTAGTTTCACCACTTCATCTATTGATCTGCCATCCTTGCCTAGTACTCGTTTCCTAACGACAGCATTGCTTACTCGGTTGTCCCACGGTATACGAGCAATGCTTCGAAGACACCTATGATCGAAAACCAGTAACCAAAGAATATCTTCTACTCTCACTGGCCATGTTTCACAGCCATATAGGAGAACGGAGCGAACTGCTGCACAGTACACTCGTCCTTTGATTAGAGAACGGATATCACGCCTACGCCATAAGTGACGTAGGTTGGTAAAAGCCAATTGAGCCTTCTGTATCTGAGCTGAGATTTCGTCAGTCACCAGGCCATCGGCACTGATGAGACTCCCAGATAAGTAAAGCGGTCAACACGCCCGACTACTTCACTCCCTATCACTAGTAC